CTCCCAATTTTGGTATCATCAGCAAACACTGAAACATTGCTATTCACACCCTCCCCGATGTCGTTAATAAACAGGGTGAACAGCATGGGTCCCAGCACAGAACCCTGAGGCACACCGCTCATGACACTAGCCCAGTCTGAAAAGGTGCCATTTACCAATACTTTCTGGACACCCTCCTGTAGCCAGTTCTCTATCCAACGTACACATCATTCCATCTATGGCCATGCATCTCAGCTTGTGTAGTAAGTGTTTGTGAGGTACCGTATCAAAAGCCTTTGAGAAATCCAGATATACCACATCCACCGGCCTCCCTCCATCCAGATCTTTACTTACCCCCTCGTAAAAAGTTAGCAAGTTAGTCTGGCAGGAACGGATTGCTGCTCTTTTTCTGAAGCTTCCTACATGCCGATTAGAAAAGACACAAATACTAAAATCAGTTTCATGACTCATTCTTAATATTCATAGGAGTGCAGGCATGCTCCGCTATATTTTCATTCTGTGTTACATAACTGGTAGACTGCAAGACAAGCTTATCAGAAACCTCGACTGGAATAAAAAACAGAGCTGGCATTGCTGAGATGCTTCTGAGAATCCCAGTTGCTTAGCTGCCCCTGTATTTTTTATATTTTGTTCATTACCTATGCTGATTATTTGAAGTGAATTCAAAGCTCCTTATTTGCATTTTTGTTCTGGTATAGTGGCTCAAACTATTAAAGCCATTGGATTAGCATGACAACTAGGGGTGCACCGAAATGAACATTTCAAAACCGCAACGAAACCAAAATGAAAAAAAATGTCAGGCCGAAACCGAAAATGTTTTTTATTCTAACTTTTTCAAAACATTTTTACATTTTATTTTTTATAAACTTTTACATTTTTTAATATTTTATTTTTCTTAGGGGCTTCAAGGAAATATTAGGGGTCTACACAGACCCCCTGATATTTCCCTTTTAAATAGAAAAAGAGATTGAGGACTCTGTGTCCTCAATCTCTTTTTCTGCAGCACCTGTTATAAATGAACAGGAATCCTCTATAGTGAGTGTTCCTGTTCATTCATAACTTGGAGATAGTATGCTTACTATAACCATAATCATGTATGAACAGAAGGCGATGTAGATCACTTCCCATTCATTCATAATTGAAGATATAGTAAACATACCATGTCCTCAATTATTTACAAACACTCAGCGATCACTGAGTGTTTGTACCTCGCTCTCCATCCTGACAGCTGTCACAGGAGGCTGAGCGAGCAGAGCTCAGCTTCCTGTGACAGCACTGCAAGCTGTCTCCGCCAACACCACTCTCCTCTGATCTGTCACAGGAGGCTGAGCAGTGCGGACAGGAGAGACGCCGGCCGCTCACACCGCTCTCCTGTGACAGTTTCTCTCCTCCCCGCTGGGACACCGAGCAGCGCCGGGCAGGGAGGAGAGAATAGGATGCACTGCTATATCGGCAAGAAAACAGCATTTTCGCCGACATGTTTCGGCGGCCGATATATCGGTGCATCCCTAATGACAATCTCATCATCAAAAGAGGTGCGTAATGGCAGCCTCCATATTTTCTCATTAATGGTTTTCCTTTAAACGCTTCATGACCACCAAACGTAGATAAACGTCCGACTACTGAAGCGGTTTTACCAAGAACACCAATGCTGCAGCAGCCGTGTTCTTGGTAACATTTTAGCTGGCGATGGCTGTTCAGATACAAGCGACCCTTTCGCTTGTACGGTGTGTGCCCCCTCTCCACCGGCTACCCCTGGCTCCGCTGCCCGGGGCCAGCACGGGGGGTCTCTCTTTTTTTCTCACTGCCAGCCGCTGATCTCTCCTCTGATCACTGGACTGGTGTCATCTTTTAAATACTATCTAAAAATTGGGTGTTCTATTCTGTTTCTGTGCACTAAATTTAATTTTAGTGTATGTTATCCTAAAAATACTGGTTTGATAAACATTTGCACAAATACTGTGCGACATAAAAATTGCAACAAGCATTTTTTTTATTATACGGGGCCTTTGCTTTCATAAAATATATACTTGTTTGGGGGTTTTAAGCTGTTTTCTAGCCAAAAAAATTATTTTATTATGTGTATGCAAATAGTAACAAATTGCTCTGGAAGGCAAGTAGTTAAAGGTCTGGTAAACCACATATGTCACATACATTTACGATATACTATTTATTTATGTTGTAAAGCAACTTTGTGGCTAAAAAGTAAAAACAAATCTACCATTCGATATATCCCTTACACATCCAGTATTCTGCCATTATGGCGTAATCCCCTCCTGGTCTGACAGGCAAAGTTATGAAATTTTTTGGCAGCATGGACGTTAGTCTGCCTCTCCCAGTCTCCTTAACATAGGCCAGTAATGCAGCCCATTATATTGATGGACCATGAGGAATGTGAGAGGGTGGGTTGGCAGGCTATAACACTACCAGAAAGTGTCACAGGTTTGGTGATGAGAAGGACCTGGGATTTGGCTGTAGCAGTGGGGACGTGAGGCTGCTGCAGGTATGTGCAGGCAACTCTGGATTATTTCTCTTACCTTGAGATTTTTCAGATTTGTGATGATTTTTGCCATATATAATATAATTTTTTTTTTAGTATTAATCTGTGACTGATGTGAGAGACTCCTCCAGCAGGGTTGCTGGGATGTAGCTTGAGTGTGCTAGAGGTGTAGAACTGTAAGAGGTGGTCATTAGTGATGAGCTGAAGGTGCCGGGTTAGATATGTGGGAGGTTTAGCAAACTCCTCAAAAAGCCTGCAAATTTCAAACTTTAATGCAAACCCAATTAAAGTCAATAGGAGGCGAATCTTGAAAATCAGTTCTCTCCCTGAAGGAAAAAGGAAGTGCATAAGGTGCTTAGCACTACCCTGGGGAACATGTCCAACCTTGCATCGACCCAAACTCGAACTTCATCCCTAGTTTGTCATCTGTGTGTTGGACATACTGGCTCTGTGTAGACCTAAAGGAAACAGAAAAGGCATAGGGGACCTTGGCACTGCCCTTGGGGACATGTCAAACCTTGCTTTGGCTCAAACTCGAACCCTATTACTAGTTGGTCATGGGTGTGTTGGACATACGGGCTCTGTTTGGACCTAAAGGAAGGATGTGGCACCCCAAAAATGTATTTGGTAATGCGATGTGAAGTTATACTCCATACACAGTCACGTTACAACAGTATTACCAAACACAGACCCAAAAGTTTTTTTTACCACAAACTTTTATTGTTTTTAGATAAACATCAAAGCAAAAAGGAAGCATATGTAGTTGTGCTGTCGCAGCAGCGAGGAGTTTACATCAAGGATAAAGAACATTAGATTGTGTACATATAAAGCAATTTGATGGGGTTACGCTGCTAAATTAAGTTGGATTGAATCAATTAAGAAGAACTATCTGATTAAAGTCATTAGTGTTATGGACCCTTGTCCAGTAATACAGTCAACTTTGGTCTAATTCTGGGGGTCGAGTATTTAACATATATAAATGTTGAACAATATGTTTACATTACTCCATTAATGGACAATTAAGTTTTGTAATCAAATTTCTTTTGACTGGATTACTTCCTTAATTACCACATCTGGCTGTTTATGCTGTCTTTGTTGTTCAATGATAATTATGGCTGTCAGACATCGTATAGATTGCCTTAATAAATAAACACTTATTATGCCATAGGTCAGTGCTTGTCCATCTGAGTTCTTGAGGGACATGAGTGTGCCACAGTTTTAGGATTTATCTAATTAGCAGACAGTATTGTATTTAAGGGAATCTATAGTGTTTTTAATGGTCTCCATGTGTTTTTATATGTGTGTGATCAGCTTGACGTAAGTTCTCTCCTTTCACTGATTACAGCTTATATTTTATATTTCGAGTTAGGGAAACATTTCTGATTAGGAATACATAACAATGCAGTGTCATGTATCAAAATAGCTTTCAGGTATATATTACACTAATATGTGGAATAAAGTCCCCACTATGAATGATAAAGATATTAAGATCCCTAAAGTGAATCCAAATACTTAGGAGGTGCATTATTCCTTAAGCTGGGCTGAATGGAAAAAAAAACAATAGGTTTAGCGTGGATGGAGGAATCTCCAGCTGTGGCTATTGTATTGTGACAGTCAGCCTCATCGACTGTCAAAGTACCTGAATGGCGTCTGCATCTGTTTGGACAGGCGCTGTTCGCCCAACAATTTTCCTCGTGGCTCCTGACATTTTTCAGTTGAAAGATTTCGGGTGAGAGCTGGCAGACAGGGCCACCCTGTGGGCAAATTCCATCCCATTTTTGATAAAATTCACTCAGTGTATACCCAGCTTAAGCACCACAGGAAACAATTGCACACACTTAAATGTACACAGATTGACAGAAGCTGTGAATAATAGGCAAAGAAAGACGCAAAGTGACTGATTTACTAAAGGAGTTGAGAATCCTCATTCACAAAATGGGCTAAAGTTCCCGGCTGCTGATGGCCAATCACATTGCAGCTTCCTCGCCTCTCTTCTCTCTTGGGCTATGCTGTCCAGTCAAGCAGCAGGGAGGAAGGGGATCCAGTGCCACAGCCACTATGCCTGGTTTGTGCTGCTAAGATATGTCATATGAAGATCTCCAATGATCTGCAGTCACAAGTGACCGGTGCAGCTGCAGCTCAAAGCACGTCAGAAAATCCACAATATGTGCAATGAGTGCACAGTGGGCCCCCTGAGCCTACAGGACTATGTGCACTGCACACATTAGGGATATACAAGGTTTAGATTAAGGCTCAGACATCGCTATGGAGCAGGGAGTGCAGCAACAATGACAATATGTGTGTTGGGGGTATCTTTCAAGAAGCATTTTTTTCTATGATCACAGGTCTGTCCAGCCTAATCACTGTATTGTAGGAAGCACATCATGTACACATATGGTTGACAAAAAAACGCTAAGCCTACTGCCCTTGACAGCCCCTTGAAGCCTGTATCCCAAACACCACATTTCCTGCCCTAACTCTTGACTTCTTTGTCTTTCAGTTCATACAAGCAAGCCGGACATTAATAGAGACTTCAGATACTGTTTACAACAAAATCATTCAAGTGCAAAAAACAGGTAAGACGTGTTTTGCCCACTGTGTCTTGTGTCAGGCATAGTTGAGAGTTAAAAGAAAAAAAAAATGCACACAAAGTCATAAAAGAAAAAAAAATGCATTTATTTATAAATTGCATTTGAACCTGTAAAGCATTGCAACGGCGATCAGTGGATTTTGGGTGCAAAGCTCAGGCTCCTGCAGACTCTTACTTCCAGCCCCTGTCTATACCGCGGTACATACGTTCGGTTATGGGAAGGGAGGAAATAGCAATGGACCATTGAGACCCTATGAGTCCCCCTGCCGTGGTGGCAGATGGGTCTTGTGGTCTCTGTGAATGGATCTGTAAATTGAGGATGTGGGCGGAGCCACAAATAGCAGCTCCAAATTAAAAAAAATGACAGAAGCCTGCAAGTAGAACTACGTGATTTAGGTAGCTGAGGAGCAGTTTGGGGGCTGGGGGATGTGATCATGTTTTAGGTTACACCCTGAATATGGGTGTAACGTGAAACATGGTAAGAAAAATTTAAGATCCAGCGAGCTTTAGTAATTCATAGAAAAAGTAAGTCACCTTACGATTAGCCATCACCTTTTCTTAAAATCTGTGGCAAGTAGTAAGCATGTTGCAGTGTTTAGGGGGACCATACTTTGGTTCAACTTTGTCAATATGATTTTAGGCTCAATTCACTAAATTTTTGAGTCCAGTCAAAAGTGATCTTTTAATTGTGGCTGGATCCAGATGGGCTATTTTTGCATATAGCTTCTTGTATAACACCAATACTCGGTAGTCCCATAGTTTTTGACTTTGTCTACTTGAGTTTTGGCATGTCCCAGCCTACCTTTCTGTATGCCAGCATCTTCTATTTAATTCTTTAAAATAGATAATCGCTAACATAAAATCTAACAGAGAGGGCAGAACACCCTGATTAGCTTTCAAGTATTTACATATTTTGAACTAGTAGTAAAAGCACTTTATAACAAGTCCTCATTCACTTCTGTAGCTATAAGCATTGTGGATAAATTCATCCTGTTTCTAATACAATAATTTTTGGCAGCCAGATGTAAATACACAGCGGATATTTCTAAGCTGCTAGAAACCAACTGAAACTCTACGTCGGAGTTTGTTCAGATCTTTGAGGTGTTTGAGAATGAATTACTGTTTCACAGTGCAAACAGTTAGTAAGGTCAGGAAGGACTTGTTAAGACTATGTTAATTCTTAGCCATAGTCTGGATACAGGTGCTCTTAAAGTTATGATTACTTTTTTTTTTGTCTTGATGGTAATTTTTTTTAGCAGTGAGAGCCAGTAAGAGCAGCAAATTAAACATATTATAGCTGAGATTGGGGACCTCCAAACTATGGCCCATGGACCACATCCAGACCGCTACAAGATTTTATCTAGACCACAGCAACCAGCTGGCTGGCAGTGGATGTGCCAGTCTGTGTATCGTATTACAGAGACGGTGCATCTACTGCCAGCAAGCCAGATTCCCCCTTCCTCTTCCATGGTTGGTTGCTAGGACCACCAGCAGCTGAGAAAATTAATGTGGACTTTGTTTTCTTGGTCTGTGTCTCCACCTCAAAGTGGTGGCCCCTGATATTTCTCCAAAGAGGACCTGTCACAGAAAAAATAAATAACACAAAATACAAAACAACGTGCAATTTCCCCTCCATCATACATACATACATACATACATAGCACACTTGCACACATACATGCATGCACCTATATGCCATATACATCTATTGCACTATACACGCATTACATATCCCTGTATATGTTAAGATGTTTAGGAAACTTTTCAGGCTAAATTCACACATTTGTATTGTATTGTGGTGCATTGCACACAACTCCATTGTTATGACTAGACTGCCAGCACACCCCAACACAGACTAAAACCTACATGACCCTTTTTTTTAAATGTGCATATAACACAACACAAGGCATTTTCATTGTGGTAATTTTCAGTGTAAGTATGTTGCTCACTACTCTATTAGTGTGTTGGTGTGTCAAAATTAACTCCATCCCAATGCACTAATGCTCAGGTGTGAAAATGAATGGCACTAAAATGCACTCTGGTACGTGTATTGCTGTATGTTGCAGTAACACATGATAAAACACATGTATTACCACAGATTGGTGCAACCAACACGTGTGAATGGGCCCTCAGGATCTTCATTTTAGTATAATGCTAAATAGAGGAAGTACTAAAGCCTCCTTAACACTGGCGGAACTACCAGGGTCGCAACGGTCGCAATTGCGACCAGGCCCTGTCGTTCAACCTGTTGGGAGGAGGGCAGAGAGGAAGAAGAGGGCCCGCAGCTCCCTTATGCTGCCGCCCCAACCCTCCCCCCGATAGTGCCGCTCCTTCCCCGGCATTCTGCCACCCGCAGCAGAAGAAGCTAGGTATGTACAGGCAAATGTTGAGGAGGTAACGTCACAGCTCCCTCTAGGCCTTGACAATAACCAGCAGGTATTTTGGTGGCAGCTGCAATAAAAGAAGTAGCAGTGGGGGATCACTGGCACTGGCAAAGTATTAGTGGTTCATGAGGGGCCTTTCACAGACACTGTCAACCCAAATGGGCACAGTGTCATTGTGTCTTTAATGTGCATAATTTCTTGAGTTAACATGCCAGCAAACTACAACATTTGAACAAATATAAACCTTTTTTGTCCAGTGCACAACACAGAGGTGGTTTCCATCGGTGTATTCTTAGGCACTGAAATTTACACGTGTTGGGGTGCTGTTCGAAATGACTGGAACCCCACCTCAATGCACTGTGTATAGTGCATTGCCATGACATGTAGTTGTGAAGCCAATCTCCAGGTTTTTAACACAAGTTGCTCATTTAAAGGTCTGTATTTCTTAGATTTTCACTGTTCACTTCGAAAAAAGGCAAAATGTAAAAGTTACAGATGTTTGTCATTTATTTACATGGTGATGTATCAGCTACAGTACATTACGTTAATAAAATTGTCTGTGAGTAGTTCCTTTGAGCAACGGTCAGTTATCAACCAATGGCTACATATGGTGTGAGCGGCATAGGTAGTATGTAGTAGGGACTTGTCTTCTACAGTTGCAGCATTGTAGGATTTTGTGAAATTCATTTCTGCTACATGCTACTTGTGTCACCATATGAAAACATTTTTCCATGTGTTAGTAAATTATCATCATGTCAATGCACTTAATCACAGCAATATAAATAGCACAGCCCATCTACTAAACACTTGCCTTTATAGCTCACCCCCCATTTACACCTGAGCAATATATGGTGCATTTCCTGAAGCACAACGAAGAATACAATTTTTTCCAAGGCGCCCGTTTACACTCCAGTGTTTTATTGCCTGTTGTCTGTCACTTGTAGCTCGAAAAAGTCCATGAGCTTTTTTTCTGCCATAATCGCTTGTTTTTGGCTCCATAGACTTTAATGGGAGCGTTGTTATTTGTACTTATATTGCTAAAGGTAATCCATCCAGAGTTGCAAATACACATATTTTGGTGGGTTCAAGGAAATGTCAGGGGGAATGATGCAATCCTATTTGTCTCCCTAAATATATAAATATCTACATAGCTTTGGAGAACATTATTTTGCATATCTAACCCTGCCTTATGGATGTTAAATAAGCTTTGCTATAAAAGATGTCTGCTTTTCAACACGTGATTCCAATTAATTTTTTTTTTTAAAGCTGGACTTTAGGCAAATAGTTAAATCTGTTACATATTCACTATTGTAGAGCTAAACCCTAACTAACTTACATTAAATGTGCTAAAGCATTGTGTATAATAATTTAAATTTTTCCTTAAAGGAGAATTATAGGGAAAGTGAAATACACTCATCCTCATAATTAGAGCCAACGTGTAACACTGAAGGTGTCACATACCGCTAATCACTCAGTTCCCGATCATCTCCCTGCAGAGAGCGGTGACTGTTAGTCACCACTCCCCGCAGGGATTCCCCCATCCCCTCTCCGTTCTTCCAGTGCTGACTGGATTGCATGGCTAACAAGATAGGGGTACCTACCCCAGGAATGATTTATACAATGAAACAAGTTTAAAAAAATTGTTTTAGTGCAAGAAAATGAAAAGTGCTTTACATCTAAACCTGATTAGGAAGGCACCCTAACGGAGAGGTCCCTGTGGCTTATCTTCATAGCTAAGAAGAAACAGTGAAAACACTGTGGCAACGAGGATCTCAGTGGAGCCTGGGCACAGTTCAACCTGGTGATGAAGGGGCCAGCCGAGTGTTTCCACAGGATGCAGGAGATGGTGGAGCTTGGAGTGTAGAGGACGAGAACCAATCAGTCCCAGTGTGTTGACATGGAGAAGACTGTGAAGAGGTGGCAGACAAACCCAATTCATCCAGTAACTATGAGGCTTCAGGGAGGGTGGTGCATTGATAGGGACAACTTTTGTAGACGAACATCAAGCGAAAATTGAATACCTATTGGTGCGGTATACCATGGTGTTGCAGTATAGACAGGGCTGGTTTCATAGCTCAGCATTTCATGATGGTAGTCTGAGCCAAGTCAGCGAAAACTTGATAGTCATAGCCCTGAAAGGATAGGTATGGAGCATTGCGGGCGGCCTGCAAGACAGCTTCCCTCGTACAAAAGTATAGAAACTTGAGGATTATGTCTCTGGAATTCCAAGCGCTCAACAAGGAGGTAATAGTAGCCTGAAGATCTCGTACTGTCTCGGGAATGCCACGGAAAGGAAGATTGGATCTACAAGATCTATTTTCAAGATCTTCCAGTTTCTACATCAGCTGAAGGTTGTCATCACGAAGCTGATCTAAATGGAGCTCATGATAGTCAACCGCCGCAACAGTAGTATCCATGCGGGTTTCCAGGTCCGTCGTTCTCTGCACAAGTTCACGGATTTCCTGCGACAAATTGTCAGTGATCTGCTTAGAGGTGTTCTGAAGAGCTTTGTGGAGCATTTAATCAAAGCGCCTGAGCAGATCATCATGGGTGGCAGAGGTGCGGTCAGGAGAGGGAGAGCTGGCTCTGCTATCTGAGTCCG